GCGTGAGAGAGAAAGAAATTAAGAAATGCATCTTTTGTTGCCATCCTAATTTGTTTGAATTGAGCTAAGGAGTTAGGCTCATTATTTTGTTTTTATCTCATCCCTTCTTCTGTTGTAGTCTTCGTTTGGTAACTTGCTTGAAATGTATTTGCAATCCACCCATAAATTCTTGCACCACCTCCCCTTGCTGCTTTCCGTGTGCGTTTGTCACAAGTGAGCGTACAATTTGCGCCTCTTGGCGTGCGAACGAAAGTGAAACAATGACTGAATGATCGATTGCATTGTTTTCGTTGGCTTCGCACGACCGTGTTTAGGAGAAGCCAAGAGGAGGCCATCCATGACGCCGAATGGAATTACAGCTGCGGCGACCTTGGCTAAGGAAAGTAGGTTTCACCGTAGCCTTTTTGGCAGCTTTTGCGCTGCAAGGTGAGGTTTGGATACAACATGTCCTGCCGAATCCTACACGGATCCCGCAGACTTGGTGTTGACTGTTCAAATGGCAGTTTGTTCATCTGAGGATCTGGCGGTAGAACATGGTATAAATGGTGAGTGTGCTTGAAAGTTGGTTTTGCAAGCGATTATATGCTTTGGGGTTGCGTTTTGTTGCAAAGGCGACTTTGTTTATAAATGATAAGTAACCGTACCGAAGTTTAACTGCTGTTAAACGTTCTGTCAAGTTTATTTACTGTACTGCACTTTGCACTTACCAATATTATGATATACGGTGTATGACAACGTCGTCAACTTCGATATGCATAATATAAAGGTATACATTCATACTCAGCGACATTACCGTTCCTCTTCGTTTGGATGCCATGATCTTTTTTCATTCATTTTCCGAACCGCTTTATCCTCACTAGGGTCGCGGGGGGTGCTGGAGCCTATCCCAGCCGTCTTCGGGCAGTAGGCATGTGCCAGCCAATCGCAGGGCACACAGAAACGAACAACCATTCGCGCTCACACTCACACCTAGGGACAATTTTGGAGTGTTCAATCAGCCTGCCATGCATGTTTTTGGAATGTGAGACTTGGTGTTGACTGTTCAAATGGCAGTTTGTTCATCTGAGGATCTGGCGGTAGAACATGGTATAAATGGTGAGTGTGCTTGAAAGTTGGTTTTGCAAGCGATTATATGCTTTGGGGTTGCGTTTTGTTGCAAAGGCGACTTTGTTTATAAATGATAAGTAACCGTACCGAAGTTTAACTGCTGTTAAACGTTCTGTCAAGTTTATTTACTGTACTGCACTTTGCACTTACCAATATTATGATATACGGTGTATGACAACGTCGTCAACTTCGATATGCATAATATAAAGGTATACATTCATACTCAGCGACATTACCGTTCCTCTTCGTTTGGATGCCATGATCTTTTTTCATTCATTTTCCGAACCGCTTTATCCTCACTAGGGTCGCGGGGGGTGCTGGAGCCTATCCCAGCCGTCTTCGGGCAGTAGGCATGTGCCAGCCAATCGCAGGGCACACAGAAACGAACAACCATTCGCGCTCACACTCACACCTAGGGACAATTTTGGAGTGTTCAATCAGCCTGCCATGCATGTTTTTGGAATGTGGGAGGAAACTGGAGGACCCGGTGAAAACCCACGCAAGCACATGCAAACTCCACACAGGAAGGCTGGAACTGGAATTGAACTCGGTGCCTCTGCACTGTGAAGTCGACGTGCTAACCACTCGATACCGGGCCGCCCAACGCCATGATCTACAGGCACCCGATTTCAACGTCAAATTAGTGTGACATCTCAGACCACACACGCTATTTTATTACTGCGTGGTGTTAATGCACCCCGGACATTCTGTTTGAACTGTTTTTAACTGTGTATTCTCCCGTTTTTCCTCTTTCTGTCTCAAAGTGTCAACCTGGAAAGCTACTGCACAGTGTCCTGGCACTTCTCCTATTGGTCACCATCTGTGGAAAGCGTAGATGTAACTATCAAGAAATACTGGGCTCATACAGTGACGTCATCTTGGTGGAGCTACAGAATCTGGTAATCAGGGTCACTGGTCTCAACATATTTTGTGTCGTCAGTCCAAATGTTTGTCTTGCTTTGTAGAATTTGACAGATTCAAGTGATACATCCAAAGGGAGAGGCAGCTGTCCAGGAAAGGTAAATAAAAGGTGGACATGTTATGTAATGCCATGGACAGGGCAGTGGGCAATATGAACTTGAATATGCTGTGTAATTTTACACTTATTTGTGCCGTCGTTGATGCATAACCTCACTGTACGATTATATCAATGGCAGGCTCATCAGATCCTACGCTCCATCTTTGTAATGACTCAGCGGACACGCTGTCAGCGCAGTGGAAGTCGCCCGTCGGACCTGGATCGGCCCCTTGAGAACATGGAGCAAATCATTGTTCTCAACTGCAGTCCAGGTTACCTGGTGAGGTGCCATGCACTTGCGTTTTTGATTGACTATAATGATTTATTTTATTAATTCACATTCACAGAGCATCAAAATAAACAAACAAGGTTTACAAACAAGGTTTACACAACTTGAAAATACAATGTCAAAGTTCAATTAAAGGTCACATTTTGTTGAATGATTACAGCTTTCCTCCATTATTTCAGGGCAAGGCAGTTTCTTGTTCAGATGTCAAGAAAATTCAAGGAAAGAAGAGAATTAGGATCAGGTCAATTAAAGCTATTAAAGCACTGATAACCTGTTGGCAGAAACTTCTGAGTGTCTCTTTGCACAACATGTAGATGTAAGATGGAAGACAATTCCGATTGTAAGAGCCCGCCCATGACATGTCAAACCACCTTTTTTTCAACACTGGCTAGCTTCTAAATTTGTGAATAAATGTATGTACACTGTATTGGTTGTACGCACAGTGAAAATGCAATATTATGGGTGTGCATATACTTTTTATTTTTCGCATTGATTTTGATAGCTATTGTGAGTACCGTATTTTCCGCACTATCGGGCGCATCCCATTTTCTCAAAAGCCGACAGTGCGCCCTATAATCCGATGCGCCTTATATATGGAGTCACAGTCTCTTTATATTCCCCATTGAGTTGTTTCCCTGTTAGTGTTCAAATGCCATAGAGGGGTGATTATTAGCAGGAACTAATTGTAACCTAAAGGGGTTCTGCCCGACACTAATTGACATGTGCACTCAAACAGACAACTACTTTGTGGTCTCTGCGCAGCCATTATGAAACGAAGATAATACCACAAGTATAGTTAACTACTGACTAAACGGAGGATGGAGACAAGCAAGACTTCAAAGGATATTTAGCCCCTTGTGGATGTGGGCCCACAAGGTTTGTGTGCTTTTTTGTTGAATTAGTTGTTTTCATAACGTTTGTCTTTCATTTATTGCTTTCATTTATTGTTTTGTAATGCCATTTGTATTTATGTTTCATGTCAGTGTTCCTGACCAGTTCTTATAGCTTTGTTACAGCTGCAGCAGTTGTGAATGCTCTACCTAACGAAAGCTGTATTCTATTGTATTCTATTTAGCGTAGCACCATCTAGTGGATGCATAGTGCAACCGCAGCCACTGTTGTAGCTTCTATTGTATGCACCTTATAATGCAGTGCGCCCTATATATGAAAACAGTTTTAAAATAGGCCATTCATTGAAGGTGAATCCGGAGTGCTTTCTTCTGGAGAAAATACGGTATGTGTCAATTTTACAAGATGTCGCTTCTTGTAAAATTGTGAGATATGTGAGCAGTCATTCCTGTTAACCATACATGTTTTGGGCCGAATGTGTCAATTAAAAAGAATTTTAAAAATGCAATTGTCCTTGAAACTGTGAAACCATCACTACTAGGTGATAACAGCAATTTCATTTGTAAAAATGTTATTTAATCCAATCGGAATCACTTACAGTATTTTGTTTAATTTGGAGCGTTGTTGCAGAAACATTCTTGCCCAATTTTTACAGCTGATTCAAACAATAATAAGAGCGTAAAAAAATCATTTGTGTATGACTGTATGTCATGACAGATTTCCAGGGGTGTAGTGGGCGTGGTACGCGGGGGTACGCCGTCCACCCACTTCTCCCGACGCCACATTCAATTTTTATTGAAATGTTTGTTAATCATTGTTCTAATGCGAGTTATGCTTAATAACGTTGGCCTGTGATTATTTTGGAGTAGTAAAACATTAAATTTAACGTTAGTTCAACTGGTGTTGGAGCCTATGATTGATGTTCTGTATGTATATATAGAACATCCCAGAATCGCGTACACCCACTTAAAAAATCCCCACTACACCACTGCAGATTTCAATATAAACTTAAAGGTACAGACTTCTTTCTAATCATTTATCTATTTTTTCCGGTGGAATTGCTTGCAGTGGTGATTACTCTACAGTGGACTGAGCATAACAGGTTATATAACAGGTTGTCATCCGCTCTGATTCACTGTTAACATTACTGTCGCTAAAGTCCATGGTGTCACAGAGTAGGATTATTATTATTTTTTTTTTTAATGTTTGAAACATGGAATAGGCTCAACAGAAGTGGGACAAGAGTTGCATACATCTGGGTTCCAGCACATAAAAGTATAAAGGGGAATGAAAGAGTGCATGGTTGCACTTGCTAAATGATCAATGGCTGGTCGTATCTCTCGGTATGGGTGAGGCCAAGGCCTATATAAAGAATATAGTTAAAGTTGAATGCCATTCATTTTGGAGTGGACGGCGCACATAATGTCATCCATATAATATTAAAAAAAAAGGGTGGCATGAACGTAGTGAATAGAAATAGATGATAATAAACAATTACAGTATAGCAGTAGGATTAGGACATCCTGCATTTTGTGGGTCGTTGTATTTGATTGTTAAACATTAATCTGGTTTTTGTGAACGTGGAAAAGAGAGAGAAAGTGTTGTACCTGTTATTTGTTTGTTTGCTATGAGAGCACCAGGGAAAAACTATGAAGAGTTAAGAAAAAGAGTTATGATGTTTAACCTTAGAAATGTGCTGAGGACGAAAGATCAGTTTGAAGCTCAACTTCAGTTTTTGAAAGAAACGGTGTTGAGAAAGATAATTTAGTGTTTCTTTGATTTTATTTGTTCCCTAGAATTGTGCTTTGGGCACAAGCGCACTTTATTCACACTCCAGCACAGTAGGTGTCGGTAATGCACCATGTTCGACAGGGAAAAAGTGGAACGTTCTTGCCAAGACAATTGTTCCTGCCCGGGATCAAATAACAAAAGGACATGTCCGTTTCCGAAAAAACGTACGTTAGAAACATTTTGTTACTGTTGCAACAATTAACAATTCTCACGAACAGTCTGTTATAAATACAATACTGTATTGGTAAATTACATCTTGCAACGAAGTCGCATTTCAGGGTACGTTGCTAAGCATCGTGTCAACTGTGTTGAATACTGTTTGAAGAAATCCATTCAAGAAACGTAAGTATAAATATACGCTGTTATGTAAATGCTGGGAAATAGGATTGCTTTAGTCTAGACAGCTGAAATTCGATTCCAGAAATGGCTAGCAGTCGCAGTGTAGACATGGATCCTGACGTTGCTCGGAGGCTGTTTCATGAGGGGGCCACCCTGGTGCTGCTGGGAGTGCCTCAGGGCACAGAATTTGGCATTGACTGCAAGTGTTGGAAGGTTGGCCCCCGCTTTCGGGGTGTTAAGATGATCCCCCCAGGACTGCACTTTCTCTACTACTGCTCTGTCAATCCACCGAGCTGTGGAGGAGAAGTTGGCCCAAAGACCGGCTTGTTCCTCAGTCTCAAACCCAGAGACATCCTGTTGGCTAACTGGAACCCTAAAGAAGAGGATCTGGACTTCTCTGCCTCCCAGAACGAGGAGGAAGTGAGCAGAATCAGAGCGAACCTGCAGGACCTGGACCCATACCTCGGACCTTATCCCTATGAGGTGATGAGGAAGTGGGTGTCCCTCACGAACCGACTGAACGAGGAGGTGGCCAACAACTTGCAGCCGCTCTCGGGCCGGGTCTGTGCCTTCAGCGACGTTATCCCCGAGACCGATTTCCGACATACCAAGGACCGAGCCGAGCAGCCGAGGAACGACACGGCCTGCCAGACCATGAGGGAGGGACTAGACAGGCTTCCCAAGATGAAGCTGAGGGAGGGGACACAATTGCGCTTCTCTGTCATCCCAGAGAAGACTTACCCACCTGGGGCCACGCCCGCCCAGATCACACAGTGCAGCCTGGACCTTACCTACGCGCTGGAGACTCTGCTCGACAAGAATTACCAGCAAAAGCCTCTCGACCTGCTCGGTGAGTGTTCTCCTGGCTCATTACGACACACAACTCGACGGTCTTTGTACAGTTGTCTACATTTGGCATTGGTAGGCCTGAAAGGATGAATCGAATAACTTGAAGAATTCAGTTACCTTCATTCTAAAAAAAAAAAAAAAAAAGTCGAAGTAAAATCCCTGCTTCGAATTGATGTTACTGCACACGAGAGGTGCAACAATTACTCGATTAATCAGCAACTTAGTGATTATTAAATTAATCAGCAAGTATTTTGATAAGCCATTAATCGTTTATAAACATTGTTTAACTTAAAATTGTACAAATCCTCATAATTTCATTCTTTCAACAGTAAATATTATTGGAATTCTGTCGTCCAAGCAAGTAGATTTGATTCTCTGTGTCGAATCAAACTAAGACATTTGCAATATTATACAGTATTGCTTTTAATTTGGAACACAATCATCATGTTTGCCAGTTTTCTTTTGTATGAGTGACCAAACCAGGAACTGAATCAAAATCAATTTACGCCTGTGCATTTTATGCACAGAAATAATGTCCTGTTTTTGAATAAGGGGATCGAAATACAAAATGTTTTTTTTTTTTTTTTTTAAACTGCTTCATCAATTATTTGAAAAGAAAGGACAGATTAATAAAAGGCTCATTGGTTGCAGTCCTACTTCTATCACATCTTGGTTCGATTTGGAATCTATAGCGACTGTGTTTGTGTGTGGGGCTTAGTAGAGCGAATGGTTAGCACCTCTGGTCTGCCTCACGGTTTTGAGTTTTGGGATTTGAGTCTCAGCTCCAGACTTCCTGTGAGGAGCTCGCATGTTGTCCCTATACTTGCGGTGATACTCCGACGTCACCCCACATTCCAAAATTGAAGACTATAAATTGTCCTTTACGTATGAATGTGGTACGGACAAACAGTATAGAAAAGGAATGGTGAATGGAGAGATTGTCGAAAAACGTTGACATTTTCTCCACCGAATTTGACCTGACAACAAAACTCCTTTCCCAGGTGAGCTGCAGTTTGCCTTTGTCTGCTTCGTGATCGGAAACGTGTACGAGGGCTTCGAGCATTGGAAACGTCTTTTGAGCCTGCTGTGTCGAGCGGAGGCGGCCATGCAGAGGCACAAAGAGCTCTACCTGGGGCTCATTGCCGTGCTCTACCACCAGCTGGGAGAAATCCCTCCTGACTTCTTTGTGGACATTGTGTCTCAGAACAACTTCCTCACCTCCACGCTGCAGGTACCAGCTTCATGGGGCAAACCCCACCCAACGGTTTTATCTTACTCATGAGGCAAGGCAGTTTTTATATAGCACATCTCATACACAATGCAACTCAATGTGCTTCACACAAGCAGTTACCCATCTACAAGCATTTACAAACACAACAGGTAACTACATTCAGAAGCAAAGTAGAGAAAACAAATGTAGTTTACAAAAATTACTAAAGGAATGGGCATTAACAGCATTTAAACTTTAAAAACATTTAAAAGTAAAGAAATGAGAGTAGATTTCTAAAATAACGAAAAAGAAAACAATGATTTCAAGTGTTTTAGAAAATTTTAATCAAAGTATGGGGGCGGGGGGAATCTTTAACCGAGACTTAAAAACATTTACACTTGGGACTGACTTCACTAATGTTAATAGCTTATTCCATTTGTGTGCAGCATAACAGCTAATTGCAACTTCACCATGTTTATGTTGAACTCTGGGCTCCTCTACTTGATCCAAGTCTGCGGGTCTCAGAGCCCCACTGGCTTTATATTCACTCAACATTTCTTTAATTTATTTAGGGCCCAAACCGCTAAATGATTTATACACCGGTTGCAGAATTTTAAAATCTATTCTACAGCTGATTGCCAGCCAGTGTAAAGCCTTTAGGACTGGAGTAATATGTTCTGATCTCTTTGTTGTGGTCAGAACCTAAGCTGCAGCATTCTGAATAAGATGCAGCTGTGTGATGCTCTTTGAGCGAGTCCAGTATGAAGAGCATCAAGTTAATCAAGTCTACTGGAGATAAAAGCATGAATAAATTTCTCCTGGTCTGTTTGGTTTCTGCAACCCTTCAGTCTGGATATGTTTTTCAGCTGGTAAAAGGCTGTTTTTGTGATTGATTTGATATAAGGTTTGAGTCTATCAGCACCCCAAGATTGTCCAAAACAATTTCCTCCGTTTTGTTTTGGTTTAGCCGAAGGAAGTTTTGGTTCATTGGTTCAGTTGCTAATTTGCTCAGGACAGTGACGAGCTGGCCATCTGAATCAGGTGTGTTGCCACTGGGAGAGCTGGAAAACAGGCAGGACAGCGGCCCTTGAGGACCGACTTTGGACACCCCTGCACTTAGGACTTGAATAAGAGTGGTTTCCTTACTGTGGTGAGGTCGGAAACATGAATGGGATTGATTACAAAGTCTGTTTCAGCTCAAAAGGTTGCTGAGTTGATTGAAAACAATTTTCCTGACAGTTGGAGGGTAGAGTGAGAGAGAGAGAGAGAGAGAGAGAGAGAGAGAAAGAGCGAGAGCGAGAATTTGCAAGTAGCAAACAGCTAATGTGTAGATGAATTTGTGAATTGGCGGGGGTTCACTGTAATGTTTCATTCCAATAATCACAAGTGCCCTTGGTTGTCTGTTGTTCCTTTTTGTTTATTTATTTTTATTTAACATATTTATATATTTATGTCTTATGGAATTTTAACGTAAATTTTAGCTGTGTGTGTTCAATGCACGACATGTTTGCACGGTGGGTGAGAGAGGAAAGTAATTTCATCTGTGCTGTATGTTCCACATAGAGCATATTTGACAATAAAAAGCTGACTTGACTTGACTTTAACATTGCTCTTTAAGTTGTTATTTTTTGTAATTTTTTACGCTTATTTATCCAGGTAAGACAGCTGGAGACACATTCTTATTTCACCGGCATTGGGCCAAAAGCTTTTAGGTCACAATTTGCTAGATTTTTTTTTTTTTTTCCATAAATCTGTACTGTTAGTCAGCCCACACATTTGTATTAAATTTACAAATTATTGACCAATCTAACGTTTTAAAAAGCTCTCTTTGATGATGCAATGGCATTGGTTGAAAAAAAATTTTTTTTTTTTTTTTGGCCTCTTGAACAGTGAAGATTGTGGAGGTACATGCATAGGAATTCAGCCCAACGCCAACAATTTGCAATACCAACCTGGCAGCAGACAACAGAATAAAACAAAGCAAAAGAAAAGCAAATCGAATTACATATACAGTACGTATTACAAATGATACAATCTGATGTACACGAACCAAAGCGTAAAACACATCCCCACCCCCCAAAAAAATGCTGCTGCTGAAGATATAGTCATAAATAACCAACCCCCCAAAAATGGGTGTGTTCATGTTGTTTTTTCCCATGCAGTCTAGAGACTGACTTTGGCTTTTTTTTCCGGCAGGACTTCTTCCAGTTGGCCACTGGGCCCAGCGTGGACGGAGCGCTACGTAAGAGAGCAGAGAAGTTCAAAGCCCACCTGACCAAGAAGTTTTCCTGGGATTTCGATGCAGACTTGGACGAGTGCGCGCCTGTGGTGGTGGATCTTCCCGAGGGCTTTACTGTGGACTGATTTGACGCTCACTGGAAGATTAGGCAAGCTCGAGCTTCCATGTCAGATAGGTGTCCCTCACCAAAGGCTGATGTGGAAACCTGTACATAGTCGCGGTCATTTATCTTTCATCTTGTACACAACGTCCATGCTCGTTGGTGGGTTACAGGTGTTGTCAGCAGTGTTTTTAAGGTCTCATAAGAAACATGTTATAATCTTTGCAACTTAATGTCTATCTATATATGTGTCTATAGATCTGGAATTTCGCTGTATACTTTCAAAGACGTTTCATGTAAATCTAAAAATAAAAAGAAATTACAATAAACTAAGCTTTGCCTAAAAGATGGGTGAACTACTATGTCCTTTAAGGAATGGTTAAAACACATTGGGAATAATGTATGAAAAGATGTTTTCAGTGACGCTGCATATAAAACAGTACAGCAGTGTAAAGTGATGGTGCTACATCGACATACAATATTTTTCGAAAATTTGGTATTCATTTTCATTGCTTCGCGGATGACACCCAGCTCTACCTCTCCAGCAAACCCGACGCCTCCCTCCCACCCTCTTCCCTTTCTCACTGTCTCTCAGAAATCAAATCTTGGTTCACCCATAACTTCCTCAAGTTAAACAGCAATAAAACAGAACTCCTCCTCGTCGGTACTAAATCCACACTATCCAAAGCAGACAATTTTTTTTCTCACAATTGATAATGCCACTGTATCTCCTTCCCCTCAGGTCAAGAGCTTGGGTGTCATCCTCGACAGCTCACTGTCTTTCCACTCCCACATCAATAACATTACCCGGTCTGCATATTTCCACCTCCGTAACATCAACCGTCTCCGTCCCTCTCTCACCCCTCACACGACTGCTATTCTTGTTCACAGCCTCGTCACCTCCCGCATCGATTACTGCAATTCACTTCTCTTCGGCGTCCATCTCAAATTTCTCCATAAACCACCCCCCCCCCCCCCCCCCCTATCTATCAGATCTCCTTCAGATCTCTATCCCTTCCTGCTCACTCAGGTCTTCATCCTCCCTCCATCTTTCTGTACCCTCTGCCCGTCTCAGCACAATGGGGTGCAGAGCCTTCAGCTGCTCTGCCCCCAAACTCTGGAACTCACTTGCACCCAATATTCGCAACATTGATTCTCTTCCCACATTCAAAACCCAGCTCAAAACTCACCTTTTCAGACTGGCTTATTCCACTTAAATATATCTCTTGTATTTATAATTTTATCTGTGGTTTTATTTATTCTTTATTTGTCTTATTGTTTGCTCGTCTGTAAAGTGTCCTTGGGTGTTGTGAAAGGCGCTTCAAATAAAATGTATTATTATTATTATTATTATTATTATCTGTACACTTAGACCTAAACAATTGAGAAAAGGAAGAACCATCATTTCAAGACAAAAGGAGCACCTGTTCATTGATTGTAAACAAATCATTTTTCTGTTTATGGTCTACAAAAACGGTTAAGAAACTTATGATGCAAGGGTATTTTCTCTTAAGTACTGTACCAGTTTTCTTGTAAAGAGATTGTCATATTAGCCTCTGGCACCAGATGGCGTAATTAGGCTTTCAAGATCAAATTGAAGTTTTTCAAACTTAAATTGAGTGCTGTGCAGATTGATTGAAGTGTTCAGTGCATTTGGAGTAAAATAAAAAACATTTAATGTTATTTTGTTGAACTACTGCATCAATCCATTCAATCAATCAGCAACGATGTCCTGTGTTTATTTGCTTCGGTATGCCTTGATTCCATGGTCTGAATACCTTACAATATAAAGTGGAAGCAAAATCCTTATCTGAATGAAAATGTGATTGTTGATGTAGCTCAAATTGTTCTTACTCACTCTGCATCAACAGTAAAGCCGATGCTGTGTATCAGACCACAGAAACAATGTGTGAGTTATTTCACTCTCGTATGTAACTGAAAGGCGTGACTGGTTTGGATCACATCGTGGAAACAACAGAGGAAATGTATAATCAAATGTGCTATGTGACCTCTCAACACCCCTCTCCCTCCCAACTGAGCTTGAAATCGGAAGTTGTCAATGCATCCAGTCTTGGTGCGGAATGACTCCCTTAGGTCATCATTGGAGTCTGAACCGCTATTTTCGTGATGGCATTGGAGTGTACAAGGGTCAAAAGTGCTCATCCCTACCTGCTTTCATTCACAAGCTCTCTTCCATCAGAAATGCATTTGACTTTGTGACTAAGCAGTTTTATCGTCGTGATACGTGGCCGAACATATGAGGTGTTTCACCATGGGTGTATAATATCAATCAATTATCAATCAACTGATGGTTTTTGATCACTCATGCATTGGATACACATTGGCATTGTGCCCTGATGCAGACAGCAGGTATGCTTGATTGTTAAAACGACCACATGCTGCTCACCTTCTTGTTCCGCTCGACACAAAATGGCTCAAACCAAGCAATCGAAGGAGGGTTAGGGTAAGTCACACACATTGACATCTTTGAAGTAGCATATCGATTACATAAAGCAGATTTAAAAAGTCGATACAACACTGTTCGAATTAAGCCCAGCTGTTCTAGTTGGCTTTTGTAGTCACTTTCAAAGCACACCGCATGGTCCACAGAGAGCTCATTATTCAAAGGTATTAGGGCCTGGGCAGGGTATACAATAATTCCCTAGGCATCGAGTACATCATGATCAACAGAAAAGGCACTCATTATCAAGTGGAGAAAATATTGCACAACAGTGACACGACCAAGAATTGGACATCCCTCCAAAATGGATGATTGGGCGGGGGGAGTCTGCTGAGAGGCCAACAATAACATTGAAGAAGCTGCAGGAATTTCTGGTAAGTGTTGACTGTTTGGTTAACATGACAACAATCACCTGTCTTCTTCATATGTCTGGGCTTTGGGTTAGAGGGCATGACAGAAGCCTTACCTACCAAAGAAGAACATCCAAGCTTGATGAGATTTTGGAAAAACACGTGAAATTACCCAAATGTATGAGGTAAAAATCTATTCAGGGTCCAATGAAATCAAGGTTATACCTTTTGGCCATAATTGCAAAGACTATGTTTGACACAAACAATAGTCATCACTCAAGCAACACCATACTTACATGGTGGTAGCAGCATAATTGACAGGGTCTGTTTTTCTTCAGCTGGAACTGTGAACTTAGGAAAGGTGGAGGCAATTATGAACCGTTCCAAACATGTGCTCACACAAAACATTCAGACTTCTGCTTGAAAGAGGGGGAAAAAGTGTCAGAAAAAGTCCACTAGAACACCTCAACTTTATGAGAGGTTAATCAGTGGCATTTGAAATGGTGGCAGGTGTGCGCTGACTCCCATTAAACCTGAGTTTGAATGTGATTGGTTAACTCATAACACAGCCGCATTCACAGTTTTCAAAGGTGTGCACACTTGTGCAAGCACATGATCTAAGTTGTTTGTGTTTACTTCCTTTTTTGAAAACGGTTCCATTTTTTTCAATTGCATTGCACAGGTTAAAAGTTACATCGGTCTCAATTTTTGTTGAACTCTGGTTGTCGGATGAACAAAATAATTTTGGTTTTTAAGAAAAAAATGCATCCAAATGTGTTTTGCTTACACTGGTTGGTTTTATTAAAGCATGTTATAAGTGCTCCCTGGACATCTTTGTCCAAGATGCCGTGGCAACTAACCCGTGCAGATAGACTGGCTCCTTCTTTGCCTGCAGGTAGTGGAGCCATTGACGTGACTCCTGCTGGCAGTACCCCCTCGCCCAGGATTTTGGTCTTTGGAAAAGCTATCATGGTCGAATGCAAAGCATATGGATGTCTCAATAACAAGTGAAAAAACCCAAAACAAAGATAAGCACAACTTTTGCATACCTAAACCTGTTAATGCAGAGCCTAAATTGATCGCAGAAAGGTGGCTGCATTACTTGTATCGCTCAATCACAACTGGTGGGTGCGAGGGAAAGCCCATGCGTTAAAACTAACCAAGAAGTTCAGGTGGGTGGGGGTGCACTCAAAGCAGAGCTGGACGATGGTTAAAAATCTCTCCTGGAAATGTCATACACACCGGAGTGTGTGAACACTTGGTTCTGTTTGAATGATCTGCTCAAGTGATTAGCGGCGGGAGCTGAAACCGAAGCGAGAAACTTTAGAGGCGTCTGTGGTCGTGGTCATGCACAGCGAGCTTGCAAACGCATTTCCCCGGTGGACTCATTGACTAAGTGAAGGCATTTCACGGGGGGACAGCGAAAACAGTGATAACGTGCAATGCCATGTTTCATTAGTCTCTTCAAATTGTCTGCACTCAAGAGCTAAATCTTCCATCGGAGCTTCTCTAAACCCTGGGCAAGTCCTATTTTAGTCAAGCTGGATTGAGACAAGTCCTTTCCTGGCCCTCATTTCTCCTGGAGTCCATCAGATAGCTGATGCTCTCCCCACACCTGCCCGTCACATGACTGATCGCGAACTTCCATTTTACTGACTGTTGTCTTTGGCAGTGACGCCCCGAGCTGAGCGTGAACTCTGGCAGACCTTGTCATAGCATACAGGATTTGAATACCCGGCCGGCAACCACCCAGACCCACACGCCAACTCTGCTTATTTTTTCACCCTGCCTCTATTTTCTTCTTCTGAGTGAAGGGGTTGAGGTGACACATCTCGCAATGCCCCATAGGCGGACCTCTTGTCAATAGATCTGAAGATAAAGTGCAATAGAGTTAAAACCCCCTCCATTGTATTTGCAGTGCTGCTTTTTTTAATGGATACAATTAATACCTCTGTTTTGGTCAAACTTTTATTCATCATGGGTGTAATTCTACTATCAAAAAGTAGATGGCGGCCCACTTTTTTGGTTTGTAACTGAAAGCAGAAGAGCAAAACAGGATTTCAGTCGTTTTTGTTGAAACTTATTGAACGTCATCTTCTATAATCCTGCTTTTTATGCCTACAGAAAGCGACGGCGGTAGCTTAATTTTATTATCTACATCTTTGGTTATGCTAATCGATGTATATTGAGAGATGATCATTTATTACTTTGGAAAAAGAAATGTTTATTGTAAGCACACAGAGAGACAGTACACTGATACACAGATTTTGTAGTATTTTATCCTGGGCGACAGAATGAAGCATTCGAGTGGTCGCCAATCAGCCACAGGGCACAGGTGCTGGATAATGTCGCGACCTCACCCAGTGTAAAGAGGACTCGGGCTCTAATCTTTGCTCTCGGCTCGCTTTTAAATAATTCACACTTTCGTGATGTATTATTCAGACATTTCTCCCTTGTAGTCACTGCTTTGTCAACTCTTATTTCCACCCTCTGCATCTTGTTAATGATGACAAACAAATCAGATGCATGCAAGACACCAAAAGAGGGTCTATACAAGAAATGTGGAAAGAAAACAGCTGCGCTATTTACAGTAGGCATAGTTATAACTATCCATTTGTGCCTTTTCTATCTCATATCCT